ATAGCTTAATATGTTAAGGGTTTTATAACAGTTATGTTGTAGGAAAAGTGATTGTGTAATGTTATAGAGATTCGTTTTGCGTGCTGTAGTTTTTTTTTTGCTTCAAAAAGTGTGGGCCCCACAAAATGTTGTGTGTGTAGAAAACTTTCTTGTGTCATGTTAAATGATAAATGCAAACCCCATATGTTAATATTTAATTAGAGGAACATTGTACCTTGTGGATGGGTTTTCCTGGTATAACTCAGTTTGATTCGAATTCATAGACATATCATTTGTGACCTCAATTTCTAGTTAAGCAATTAAAAAGTATAATTGATAATAAATTATTGCAAACACAATGAGGAAAAATATTGAATTTAACATTTTAAATGAATGGATCCAAATTACCTGATAAATCAGACATGATGCGGATATTGAGACCCTTTATAGATTGTTTAGAATAATTTTTCTGCCACATTATGTTCTTGCGCCTCAGTCTAGCATTTTGCTATCTAAAAAGTTGTGCATAACACATTTCCGTATTACTAAATCAGTAAATATATATGCAAAAAAATTGGTTCAAACAAATTAACGATTTAATTTAAAAACATACCTTGATACATATTTGAATCATTAATGTTGTCCGCATTCAAGGAGGAATCATTTGAATTTGTTATGGGATTGCTTAATTCAAATCGTCTGCTTTGTGACAACAAAATTATACATTTTTGGTAAACAGTAAACACAAATGATTAAAATTTTTATGGAAAGAAACAAATGATGAAGAAAATTGACCTGCCAATGGACGGGGCAGAGAGCGGAGTAAGATTTTCCAGAGTGGATGAATAGGTTCCATTGCAATTTTTCAGGCGAATAATTTAAGATGACAACATTAAAGGATGCGTTATTTCTTCTATTATGCGAAGGAGTCACTGTTTATCAACCATCAATTTCAAACGAAACAAAGCAGTAACCAATAATTTTATTTAGTGCAACATTGTAGGGATAAAAAAAAATTCGCAACATAATTACGTACCGTTAGAAATATCCCCAAGGGGTTGTCTAGAGCCGTTGACTGCATTGTGTATATTTTCTCTTTGATTGGCTCTAGTTTTTTAAGATAAACAAATGAACTCTCAATGGAATATCTAAATGAATGACTGTAAAAAAAAATAACGATGTTTGTCAAAGAATAATTAAAAACCAAAACTTACCTGCTAACAGAGGAGTAAGATAACGGAGTAATACTTTCCACCGTAGACTGTAAGGATGAATTACAATATACAAGGGAAGAACTACAACATTCATTCGACCCACGTGTGTTCCTTCTCTTTTGCGAAGGATTTTCTATTTGGGATGAATGTTTACTCATAACGGAAACCAAATGTCCAGGACAAAGAAATCACAACTTTCAAGTGGCAAGCAAACATTGTGAGAGTTTAGTAAAATAGTAATTTAAACTTACTCTAAACTAGAAAAGGAAGAGCAAGGATCTCAATCAAATCGGACAGATGGTTATAGATTAATATATGAAAAAAAATGTTTTGAAACAATAGTTATATTAATGGAAATCGGTTGAGTTGCTTAATTACTGATTACTGATGTCAAGATGGGAGGATAGATAATGGGTTGTGGATTTTTTTAATTAACGTTATGTATTCCAATTTTGAAACATAGTGTTTCATAATTATGCATGCAGCTGTTGCTGCGCGTTTTCCAATTCTGTTTGTGGAGTTACATTAGTGCATCTCTATTATAACTATCATTATTAATTGCGTATAAATATGCCAACTTTCTTGATCAATGCATTTGTGGTGTTGCATTAATGCATGTGTAGTGTAATTATCATTTATTATTTTCGCATAAACATGCAAACTGATCTGCAACAAAGCATTTACCAAGTGCACATAATGTTTGTTTTAGGACGGGTTGAGGATCCAAAAGTCACTGAATATAGGTATGCCTTTAAATACGAAATACCATTTTATTTAAATTATTATATCGAATATTAAAATATCTTTTATTTTGTATTTTCACTTTGTTTCATACCTTTTGTTTCGATAATTACATCCAATATTAAAATTTATTTTGTTTGGTATTTTCAATTCATTTTATAAACACATCAAACATGTTTTTGATATCATCGGAAAAGTTTTTTCCCTGTTATATGGGGAAATCTATCCATAGAGAGTCAAAAGAAATACATAGAAAAGTAAATGCGGAATTCCTATATCAACAAAGAAATATATAATGCATATTTTATATTTCCACAACCATTAATACATTGATTTAATATGTTGACTTCACACAAAACACAAATAAGAAATTAATTTAACAATCTAAAAAATACAAAAAAACGCAATAGGAAAGGGTTATGTAAGAACCTGCACCGTTAAATTAATAATTTAAATGATTAATTATGAATTTAGGAAATAATTTCATAATTGACCTTAAATGAATATGGTAAGCTAAGGATAATAATAGTAAGTGATTAATAATGTTGAAAGTCACTTTTCTGACGAAAAGTGCAGATACCGGTTCTGCTCCACGGTATAAGTGCATACCGATGAAGTATCCCAGAAAATTATATTAAATACATGAATATTCCTAGAATAATATTTAGGACTGGTATGTCAAGTTTGGAGTTGAAATAATGAGAATGGTGTCAGGACTGATACCGGCTACGTAAAAGCGCGTACCGGCAAAGTGCTGCGAAAAATTATAATAAAAATATGACAAATCTTAAAAAATTGGCTAGGTTCAGAATCCAAAGTTTAGGATTAAAATGATTAGCGGAGCTATTATGGCTAATATCGACGCTTAAAACTTAATGAGGCTATAAATGTTTAATGGCTCATAACCCTAGGCCATATTGTGTCTGCCTACGTGAGCTTCCTGAAGGTTCAGCTGCTGCCACCCTTTCTTTTCACCATTTTATGGCTTTTCTTCTCCTTTGAAACCCCAAAGTGATCACCTTTGGTCCAAGATCTTCATCTAATCACCATAGTTTGGTGTGAGCAACCTTGTGAGGGTGAAAGTCAGCCATTTTTTGGGTATGGCCTCTGTTTAGTTGTGGTTAGGGGCTGAGTTCTTGAGTTTAATTATGTGAGCCATTTCTTTGTTTGTGGTAGATCCAAGGAGTGATCTTTGAAAAGAAAGAACCATTCTTGATGTGCCATTTTCGTGGACCTTGAAGGAGGAACCTTGTGGCTGGTTTGAGAGCTCCAAGAGCACTCTTGTTTTCTGTTTTGAGCCTTGGGGTATGTTCTTGAACCTTTGGTCATGAGTTTCTTTGATAAAAGTTGAGTCTTGGCATGTAAAATGAGTTGAGTAGGTAACCAACACCATCACTGACCTAAATATGTTTAAAAATGGATTCTTGGACGTTTAGTAGTGTTAAAAACACAACCTTGGAAGGGATATCTGGCGAAATGTAGAAACTGCATTCTGTCACGAAATATCCGGATATGGGGTTGGAGATATTCGGATATGGATATCCGGATATGCTATCCGGATATGGATCCGACATATATCTGGATATTCTGGGAATTTCGAGACAATTATTGTTCTGTTCATACAGAATTGAATATCGGGTTTATGGACCCATGATTGGTTAGTGTGAACCTCTATGATAATTGAACTAAGTCAGAATCACTTAGATTAAGGGCTTATGGCTTTGGGAGAAGCCTAAAGAGCATGAAACAAAAAAGAAAATGTTATCATAATGAAAGGAACCTTTACAGTATGAATATTGATGATGTTTCTGGTCTAAACAGATTGTAATTTTTCTGTTTGAGGACCTTGAGCTAGTGTGGACTTTGGCTTGGATTAATTGCTTAAGAGGTAAGCTTTCGTGTCCTCGGTTTTGCCATTGTTGGTTCCACCATACCTCATGGAGGAATGATTTATATGCATGATGTGTTTTCATGTGATGATATTTGAAATGCTATTGAACTGTTAAGTGCAAGTGCCTTATGATATGTATGTGTTGTTCCACCTAGACGGTAAGCCTGAGTATATAGCGTCATACAAGATGGTGATTCTGTGGGTGGGGTGCAAGTAGCGTCTTGCATTGTGAGTTGTAGACGTATGTAGTTCCTGCATGTTCTCTGGCCAGTAGGATTCTGACACACATGACATGATTATATGCTGCATTGCACAGATCTGGAACTTATACTGTTATACTTCTTTTGATCTTATATTGCACATGTAAGTGAGCTTGGGGTGGAGAGATCCTTGAGGACCCCTTGTCTTACTGAGATTTCTTTTTATAGATCTCACTCCACGTTGGGGCACATTTTCAGGTTCAGGTACCTCGGGGGTTGATACCTCTGGCGGCAGGAGGCCGGAGCTGGGTTGATTTATGCATGCTGTTGTGCTGATATTTCAGGATGATTATCATGCTTTTCTTTTGATATATTGATATTTGATTCGAGACTTGTTGGCTTTGTTGCCTTATTTGGTGAGCATGGGGGTTGTCCATGTCACATTGTTTTGACTATGTTTATTTAGACTTGAGTTGTATAATTTATCAGGATATTGTCCGGACTACGTGTTGTAGTTCCATGATTAGATACACATCTATATATGAGGTATTTCAGTTAGTTAAATGTTGCAATTTACATACAGGCCATATTTTGAAAAAGGATTAAGTAATCCATTTGGTTAATAATAATGACGTCATAATTGAAAAGAAAACTTAGCTTCCGCATTTAATTAAGCTGCGCTTAAAACGATAATACGATAAAAATCCAGGTATACACGGGGTGTTACAGATTACATCTGTCAATAACTTATCACTCTAAAATCTTAAACTATCAGCATCCTACAGAAAATTTTTAGTTCAACATCTGCATTGCAATTTTCACATTCAATTTCATAATCATCGAAATCTTCATCAAATATCCACGGGGACCGTTGAATTAAAACTTTTAGCAGTTTACATCGGCTGGAATGGCAGAATGATAAGTTATGTTTTGGAACAACTTCCCTACGCACCCACACAGATCATATCATAGATTTTACACGGTTTCTGCATGGTTTAATTTTCCAGAAGCATCCAGCGAACGAAATTGATCAAATCCAAGGGTTCTTTGCTCTTCATCTTCTGCGCACATCATAAGCATGCTATACACATACATGGCATCATCATGACCATTCAGAGCAGCAGTTTTAAAGTTTTCAAAAGCCAGGGCTATTGCATTTGAAGTTGATGTTTCTATGAAATATTCAAGCATTCCTTCGCGCCACATGATTTCAGGGTTGCTACTTTCTTTGCAATGCTTCAAAAAATATGCTTGACGTTCATTGTTGAACTGTTCCTCTGGCGACAATTTCCACTCGAATACCTTTCTCGCCTTCAATGATGCGTCTTCATTTGGACAACTAACCTCTACATAATGACGAAATGGTCTTTCTCTATTAATCCATTGCAGAGGTTCCAACACAAACTTGTCCAATGATGAATTTTGATACACATAATCCTGTTCAGTAAGACGAAGAAACTCTTTGCAGGTTAGTTTGTTGTTGGAAATATCTTCTATGGAATTAAAGGCGACCTTTCCAAATATTTTCAATAATAAATCTGTAGGTAGAAAGTCGAGAGAAGGATTTTGTTGGTTTTTAGGCATTGCCCGATTGGTAGAAGGTGAATCAACCATGGAAAAAGGACAAACAATGAAAAAACAAAAGAACATGGTCGTATTTATTGTGAAAGAGAGGACTATTCAATTGGAGACACAACTCTTCAGTTATCATTTCAATCACCAAACAATGTGATCCTTCGGTTTGTCCTTTCAAATTCCATTCCTTGTTAGTAATTTTTATAAGCCATAACAACCCTATTAAACGTGTGTAATTAATGGAATGCCACATTCGAAGAAGAAAGTCGTCTTTTATATAAACAAACTTGATGATCCTATACGTAAAACGATGTTTTGATTATTATTGCCCTAAAATATCTTGAAAACTAATGTCTGTCTTTAATGAATAGTTCAATTCCAAAGTATGCAGGTATCTCTTCATTTTCTGATGCTATCAATTTTCCTTTTCATTTTATACGATATTATTGTAATATTGTAATATAACGAAGCATGACTGTATTTAATAGTCTGTAAATTTCCAATGCAGATAGCCATTGTTAATATTGATGTTTCGGTTCCACCATTATATCACAATCACATTAATCAATTTTAGAAGAAAAAATAATGAATGATTGATTTTTTTCTTTACGCACTATGAAGTTTAATTCTTAGACGAATTTCCATAAGTATTGGTTTATTATTTCACAATAGATTTTAATACATAAATGATTTTTTTTAAATAATAAATTATCAATCAGGAATTATAGATTAAAATACAGGAATTATAATTTAAATTATCAATTAGGAATTATAATTCAAAATACATAGACGAACAGATTATTTTTTTCTATAAGGATTTGTTTATTATTTCACAATTCATAATTGTAGATAATAATATTTTTTTATTGTATTGAACAGAAGGAATGGTGAAGCTGATATAGTTTCTTGTGTCAGTTAGAATATTGATGAAGAATTAGTTGTATATTGGTTTACTTATGTGAGGTATAGAGTTGTCCTTCTTATTGTTTAAATGTAATAATTATAATGGACGAATTATAATTTAAATGAAAAGAACAGTTCAATATATGACGGTTAAATATATTCACAGCTGCTTTCATGCAACAGTAGAAATTTCATGCAACAGCAAAAAGTTCATCAGATTACTTCCATCCTTTGTAAAATACAAAATGAGTAATACAAAAGAGGCATTAGAAAACAGAGAAAACAGCAAACACTAAAAGTAAATTATGGTCCATTTCAAATCTGGAACGATTATTTCTTGCAATCTGTCACCCTCAAATCTTCATCTCTGCACCAAGCATAATATCCAAAGTACGCACAAGCAGAAAGCTATCCCTTCCAATACGAAGAAAATCCTTACAACTTTGTTCGATGTTGCATAGATTACGGATACTATCTGCCGCCACTCTCGCAAAAATCTCCAATAATATTTCATCCGGAAGACATTTAATTGACTTATGTATCGGCTCCTCAATCCTTGCTCGCTTTGTAGAAGACATCTCCACAACTGACTAAATTATTTAAATGGACATCAAATCTAGTATGGAGTAAAATGAAACCAAATCGGTGATATAGTTCTATATATCATGATATTACATTATATAATACGGTTACCTTATGGAATTCGAAATCAATTTAATATTTTGCTATTTCCAACTATACTTGTTTTAAAACAGAGGTTTCGTTATTATGATTATTTTATGTACAACAGATTCACGATCAGTCCAAAGCATCATTAGGGTCCGTTTTTATTGATGTTGAATCTTAAGCGTAATCATCAATAGATATACTCCTCCTTGGAAAACATTAAAACGAAAAAAATGAACGTGCGAAACATATCAAAATCTATCAGTTGCAATATGACATTTCACCATTATCTATTCAAATGAAATTTCCGCATCTTACACCATTAAAATGGCTAAGCATTTATCAGTACATTTCGTCAGCAAGCATAATCTCAATCGAACATTTAAACATATAAGAATCAGATGCAATATCACAAAATTCCTTACAGGTTAGCTGCACATTGAAAATGTCACAGACGGTTTGAGCACTAACTCGTGCAAAAATTTCTATTAAAATATCGTTCGACATAGTTTGGAGGGTTTGATTTCCACCTCCATCTCTGCGCACCCTCTTTCTATTATCGGACTTCTTGGAGTGATTTGAAGTAGTTGATTTACCCATATAACTAAGGTGGAGGTTTTTGGTGGAAAAAAAAGATGTTTAAATTATTCATCTGAGAGATAGATTATATAACTTGTATGCCACCGACATCAGGTGATAGATAAACTTATAATCATAAATACAGATTATACTCAATATTGGAAAGATCCACGTCAGTTGACTGCATCGGTAATAAAATTTCTGGAAAACAGAAAAGAGTGCAACTTGCGGTTTTTATGGACACGCCAAGGAAAACAAACAACTGTTTGTTGCCATTCTCCCCCATTATATCGGTCGTGCAACTGAATCCCATAAACAACATTAGTGTTTGTTTGTTATGCATTTAATCCTTCGTTTCAGGGATTTATTGTTATGCGTCTTCGGAAACTGAAATTTCTTCAAATTCATGTCTATTATACAATTTCAAGGAATCTCGTCATTCATAGCAAACATAAACCTGTTGACCTTCTCACCATTGAAAAAATGGTGGTTTTAAGATGAAAACAACAAATTTATTTTTTCTTTATTTTGTTATTCATTCCCATATTTATTGATCAACATGAAAAACAACAAATGTCTGTTGAACCGTTTAAGCCTTCTCTAAAGCCTCATAACCACATACAAAAAAAATGTATCCAGTGATCATAAGTCTCACGCAAAAAGCAACAACTATATTAAGGCAAAATAATAATAATATATCTTTCCATTGTGTTGTCATCAGTTAATATTCTGCATCGATGGGTTTTCGGACTCTATGCAACGTTTTAAGAAAAACAACTGCGTCTCCAGGTTGAACCTTTTCTGTGGACACAGTTCGAACGCGTACAATTCATAGAAGTAGATTTTTTTTTACACCATTTGTGATCTCCATGGTCAACGTTGAAGCACACTTCATGGGAAATCCATTGCAAGTATTCCTTATCAAGCTTGTCCAAAGCCACATGTTTATACACGTTTTCATGTTTTGCAAGACGCCTAAATGATTTGCACGTTAACTTCACGTTGCACGTGTCCTGATGGACTAATATGTTGATCTTGGATCTAGTGCCCTCTCCAAGGTTTCTGTAAGAACTTGCAGCTTAAAATTAGGAATTTAATTAATTAACTATGAGATTAATGAGATAATTCCATAATTGATCATAATAATTATGAGAAGGCTTAAATAATTATAGAAAGTGATTAATAATGTTGAAAGTCGCTTTTCTGACGAAAAATGCAGATATCGATTCTGCCTCACAGTATAAATGCGTACAGATGAAGTATCCCGGAAAATTATGAAAAGTATGTATATGTTACTAGAATAATATATAGGACTAGCATAACAAGTTTCAAGTTAAAAGAATGAGAACTGGTGTCAGAACTGATATCGGCTTCGTAAAAGCGCGTACCGGCAAAGTGCTGCGAAAAATAAAATAAAAATATGACAAATCCTAGAAAAATGGCTAGGTTCAGAATCCCAAGTTTGAGATTAAAACGATAAGCGTAGCTATTAATGCTAATATTGTGCGATTACACTTAAGTGGGCTATAAATACCCTTTTGGCCCAAAACCCTAGGCCATGTTTGATGTCCTACGTGACTTTGCTGATCTTCAACTGCTGCCTCTCTTTGCCACCCTCTTCCCCTTTCAAAAACTTGAGTTTCCTCCATAGAAACTCCCCAAGGTCTCACATTTTCCTTGACTCTTCCTCATTGAAGTTGTAAACACTGACCTAGTGAGCATTGTGAGTGAGTGAGGTGTTGCATTTCTGAGGAATAAGCTACTATTTTGGGGGAGGTTTGAGGCTGACTTCTTTTTTTGGGGTTGTGGGAGCCTTGTTCATACCATTGAAGGCTTCAAGGAGCCATTTTGATGGTAAAAGGTCCAAGCTTTTAGTGCATTTTCGTGCCCTTGCAAAGTCAGAATCTTGGTACCGTGTTGGAGGCTTCTAATCTGTCTCATTTTTCTGAGTTTTGAGCTTTTGAGGTATACCATGATCACCTCTTTGTTATTTTCATGATTTTAGCTTGTTTAATCCATTAAAAAGTGAAACTTGAACCATTTGAGCTAAAGGATGGTAATCTGAGTCTAAAACATGTTAATGAACATCTGCTTATGGAGCTATTGGACTCCAAATCGAGTTTGGATCATTAAAATGGGACTTATGTAGAGAATGCACAAATTTCTGCATTCTGTCTGATAAGTATTCGAATACTTTTCGTGTAGTATTCGAATACTTATGCTGTGGTAGTCGAATACTCATTGAAGAAGTATTGGGATAGTTTTCTGGGAAGAAAAGTATTCGGATACCTTTGAAGAAGTATCCAGATACTGGAAAGTATTCAGATACTGGAGAAATGTATTCGGATACTGTGTAGTATTTGGATACCGTGGGAAAAGTATTTGGATACCATGTGGTATTCGAATACCTTAGTGAAAGTATTCAGATACTTTCTGGAGACTTGGAGTATTCGAATACTCATCGAGGAGTATTCGAATACCTCATGCAGATTTTGCATGAAATCACTTAAAAAGAGTTGGAAAGCCTTAATCACTTAATGGAACCTTGTGCAATGATTATTGATGATTAATTATTGTATAAACAGACTGTGATTGTGCAGTTTGGTGACATTGAGCTTGTGTGGACTTGGCTTGGATTGATTGCTTAAGAGGTAAGCTTTCCTGTCCTCGGTTTAGCCATTGTTGGTTCCACCATACCCCATGGGGGGATGATTTATATGCATGATGTGTTTTCATGTATTGATTTTGAAATGCTGTTGAGCTGTTATGTGCAAGTGTCTTATAATATGCATGTGTTGTTTCACCTAGACGGTAAGCCTGTGTATGTAGGAGACATGCCATACGGTGATTCTGTGGGTGTGTGCAAGTAGAGGTGGCAAAGTGGGTGCCCCGCCCCACCCCGCCATCAACCCGCCAAAAAATGAGCCAGCCCGCCCCGCCCCGCCCCGTTTGGCGAGTTGGGCGAGTTGGCCCGCCAGCCCGAGCCTATTTTACACTGACCCGCCTATGCCCGCCATCAACCCGCCAAAAAATGAGCCCGCCCGCTTTTGAGATGACTTGAAAAACTCAGCCCGCCCCGCCCCGTTTGGCGGGTTGGGCGGGTTGGCCCGTCGAGCCGAGCCCGTTTTGCCGGCTCTATGTGCAAGTAGTGATTTGCACTGATTGTAGGTAATAGACGTATGTAAATCTTGCATTTCTCTGGCCAGTAGAATAGTTGACACACATGACATGATTATTTTGCTGCATTGCACTGACTTTGGAACTTATATTGTATTCTTGCTTTTGAACTTATATTGCACATGAAAGTGAGCTTGGGGTGGAGAAATCCTTGAGGACCCCTTGCCTTACTGAGATTTCTTTTTAGAGATCTCACCCCACGTTTGGGGCACATATTTGAGGTTCATGTTACTCGGGGGTTGAGACCTCAGGCTGCAGGAGGCCGGAGTTGAGTTAGATATCTGCTGTTATGATGATATGTTGGATGCTGACATGTTATTTATATTCATTGTTATGTTGTTGTTGTTCAGACTCTGCTGAGCTTTGTTGCCTTATTTGGTGAGCATGGGGGTTGTCCATGCCACATTGATTTGACTTTGTTGATTTAGATTAGCGTTGTATAATGTATCAGGATATTGTCTGGACTATGTGTTGTAGACTGTGACTTAGATACTCACATATTTATATTATGAGATTATTCAGTGTAGCTAGCTGTTTATTTGCAATTACATATATGCAATGTTTTTAAAAGGATTAAGTAATCAACTTGGTAATTGATAATGACGTCATAATTGAAAAGAAAAAGTTATTCCGCATTTTCAATTAAGCGTAACTTAATACGATGACATGATAACAAATCGGGTATACACGGGGTGTTACAGTATCTATAGAGGAGACACCCTTGAGTCAAGCAGATCACTGTGCACAATAAAGCAATAAAGGCTTTTCCAATGAGGGTGTGTGTGCGCGCACAATGACAGCATAACAATAAGAGAGAGCGTACCATGCATGTAGGTTTTACCTCTTATTTATAGGGTTTACCTGTGGGTAGTAGATTCTGGACCTTTAGTGCCTCTGATGAGTGCTCAGGCCCATCTGTCATTCTGCCGTATTAGGATTAGTATCCTTGATGGATATCTTTCCATAGCTATGCTTGATTTAAATCTTAGATTGCCCCTTGTTAGGCCTGTCACTCAATGAGCCCCTTATATGCGTCCATAACAACAACTAATTAGGGTTACTATCAATCCGTTTCACCGTTAGATTGATTATGTTAATCTAACGATTATAAATTTTTATCTTTGTATGATTATGATTCCCCATATTTAATGTGAAAGTATTAAATATGAAAATCATAATCATATAAAAGTGAAAATAAATATAAAGTATTAAATATGAGAAATTATAACCATACAAAAATGAAAATAATATAACTGCTGGATCAACATAATCGATCTGACGATGAAATTGATTAATAGTAAAATTACAACTAACCTAATTCATTTTGTTATAATATCCTTCCCCTACTTTAATGTAGTGTTTGGTTGGGGAGAAGTGAAAATATGGATGGGTAAGTGTATGTGGGTATCTAATAAAATCACATTTGGTTGAAGGTTTTTAGTTTCTTTTCCCATCAAAGAGCTTTCCTAGCAAACCAAGAAAGGGACCAAAAACCAGATATCTTCAATGTTCAGAAAGCCTTTGAAGAGGTGGAATTTCTCATCAAAATCGGATATCCTAAAAAGCTGATGAATGACATGCCAAGTTTACCCCTATTGTGGTTGGAAGGATAGGATGTAATAAAACGGTTTCATTTTTACGAGGATAGTTTTGTAATTTTATTAAGTTTTTCCATCAATATTTTATCTTCAACCAAACACACATTCAAAAATTTAATTCAATTTTCCTGGTAAAATTTTGCCTACCCAAACAAATTTTTTAAAACTTTTCTATCTAACTCACTTTTCCTTGAAATTCCTAATATTTATATTTCCCTAGTATTAAAAAAATTCTTCCGAACCAAACACTACCTAGAAAAACAAAAAACAATATTTTGCTTCCTTTTATCTGTCGAGATTAGAAGGAATCTTTGGGCTCGCATATATTCCCACCACTCTCTATCGTCTTTCCTTCCCGGGTTTCATACTTTGCTGCATTCTCACTCTTCGATTTCTCTGCAACAGGTACTTTTTTCCCCCATTCGTCTCCGACCTTTGTCTGTGTGTGTTTAGACAAATTAAATAAAACAAAATTGGTTCGAACATTTTAATTTTCCTTTTTCTTTTTTTCTTTTTAATTCGTTGATTTAATTTATTATTATTTTTTATTTCAACTTTGTAGGGTTTTTCGTCCTCTCCGATCTCGTTTCGTTCCCGTAGAAGAATCGATCAACAATAATGACTCATATCCTTTGATCTGTTTAAAATTTTCTGCTACTTTTTCATGAATTCTCGTCAATTTAGGAATAAGGTTGACTTTGCGTTTGGTTCCCCGAGAAAATCCGAGAGCAAAAAGAAAAAGAAAAAGAAAAAAGCTGATTCCCCACCCTCCCTCTTCCCGTTTTATTGTTGATCTTATGGTTTTTGCTGAACAATAGTTTCATTCAATTTGGATCCACGGAATGAAAACAAGAGAGAGGACCACAATTTTCAAAATTTTTAAGTTTTTTTTTGGCACTTTGTTTACTTTGCCTCAATCCAAATTGGGTATTTCTGGTTTGCATTGTGAAACTGTTTTACTATTGTTTTGGATTTAACGTTAAAGTGAACGGGGTAACCAGAGAGAAAAAGACCGTGAAAGGGCTCAGGCCAGAACAGGCGGTAAAACCAAGGGAAGTGGTGATGGGTTGACCCCTGAACAGCGCAGGGAAAGGTTGTCCTATTGTGTTTTATCACTCACACCTTGCAATCTTATTATTATTATTATTATTTTTATTATTTTTATTAATTTTGAATTGTGCCTAGTTTTGTTTGTTCTTTAAATCTTGTAATTCTTCATGGGCAGAGATGCAAAGGCACTGCAGGAGAAGGCAGCGAAGAAAGCAGGTCAGGATGCTGGAGGAAATAATGCAGGCGGAAGCAAAAAATAGGCAATGGTTTAATGATTGATTTGTGTTTTGAGGTGTTGGCTATCGACATGGAATTTATGAAAATATTTGTATTGCATGTTCTGATAAGGGTTTTGGGTTTAGAGTCATATGTGATTGTTTATTAATGTATTTGTGATAAATGAAGAAATAATTGATGTTTCCTTGTAAGTTATTGATGTTGGATGCTGAATCAGTGACTTGTATCTTGGTTTTGGGTACTAGCATTTTGTAATGATCTCGTGTTCTCTTCCCTATCTTATTGTCTCAATGGACCTAACCTAGTTGCGTTTGTGTTTGTGTTGACTCTTATTATATTCCCATCATAATCTTTGGATCAGCAATGTTTAATTTGTAAATGTGAAGTTCGTATGAACATTGATTTGAGGTTGGTTACAGAGATGGAATTATTTGAATTGCATATTCTGACAAGGGTTTTGGGTGTAGAGTCATATGTTTGTATTTATATATGTCATTTGAGATAAATAGATTAGTGTTTGCTTGTGTTCATTTTGGCTGCTAAATCATTGCCTTCTTTCTTAGTTGGAATACAGCGTGTCTGCCGCATTTTGTAATGATCGTGTGCTCTTTCCCCTGTCTTATTGTCGCTAAATGGAATAAACCTATTTGCATTTCTGTTGATTTATATTATATGTCATACAAAATCCCTCGAGTAGGTAGTGTTTATTGTGTACAAGTGAAGTTGGTAGTATGGAGATTGCTTTATGGGTTTATTATGATAGACATGGAATGATGGAAATATTTGTATTCAATATGATGATAAGGGTTTTTGCATAAGAGTAATTTATTTATGATATTTGAGATGAGCGAACAAATGATCTGGTGTTTGTCAGAGTACATTTGTCACTTATGAACCATTGACTCATCTTTAGAGTAAACCTGCCTATTGATCCCAGCGAAATTTGACATCAGAGACATTAGCATTTAAAACTGCAAAAACTCCACTGGTTTGAAAGGACTTCAAATATTAGCCATAATAGTCTTTTTTAGCAACTAATATGTTCGGAATCTAAAGACTGGTATGACCTACATTTGTTGTTCTTAGAAGGAAGTTTTACATACAGGGACGAATATATCTTTTGCTAAACTTCTCAAGAATTTGAGAGCTTACTCGTCTTTATTAGGAATACAATTTGTAAGTAGCATTTTGTAATGATTTTGTACTCTCCCATATCTTGATGTCGCTGAACAGAACACATATGGCTGCATAAGCACTAACTCATTATGTGTCAAACATTCCTTTGAATTTTAATTTGTACTAATGAGTTTGTTGGTTTGAAGATTGCTCTTTATGTTGATGTTCTGCTACTTCTACATTAAGATACACCAGATTGCCTGATGTGATCGATTGTAGTTTTTGGGGTTGAAAAACGGGGTCAGAAGCCCAAACACACAAGGAAACTAGCTACGAAAGGAAACTCTCATAAAGTCCCTGACAAATCAACCATTCAATTAGGTAGAGAAGAGAAACTTATTGGTGGGCATGATTCCGCTTGTGTGTTTTTGTGTGTCGAACTGAATCAATTATAGTGAGTCTGATTCGGAAACAGAACTCTTTAATGACTAAGTGTGGCGAACCAAATTGTTTCTAATTTATTTTGAATTATTTTTGGTTCTGAATTGGATTAGAACTGATTTTGTTTCCGTATCAGTTTTAAACCGGTTTGAACTGTGTTTAAGGTAATAAAGTAAAATAGGAAGGGAAAAGATAAGAATATTAGTAGTTAAAAAAGAAGAAGAATTGTTTCGGTTTTTTTGGTTTTTGAATGGTTCAAATAAAGTGGTTTGGTTCTTAAATTTATTTTTCAGAGGGATTTGATTTTTAAATTGATTCAAAAAAATATGATTATTTTAGTGTGGTCCCATTAATAATTTGTTTTGATTCTTTAGAATTAATATTTTTATAGAACTGATTTTTTTTTTCCAATTTAGAACTGTACACCTATGGCGTTCCCAATAACAATAGCATCAGCCTCCTGACACTACCAGTTTTGAGCCATTAGAGGCTTGATTTGGTTCACATGGGGAGGGCAGAATTTAGAAACAAGTCTAGCTTATATGAATGGCTTTACTGTAGAATCAGAACATTTGTACATGGCATTTTGAAACAAACTGGTCCGGGCAGAAATGTCTAGTTTCCTAGTTAGTTGATATATCTTACTCGCTAATGGTTCGATAAAACATTGACATTCAATAAAATTGGAATACGGGTAACAGAGCATTGGGACCAGTGGCGGAGCCACTTGGTTCGTCGTTGGTGTTTTGGTATCAATTGGTTTTCAAAAATTCTTTATATTTTTTTAAGAGTAAATATCATTTTTTGTCTCTGACAAATTTCACGAAGTCTTTTTTGGTCCCCAACAATAAAAAAGGCTCTGTTAGGTCTTTGCGTTTGAAAAAAATAGTGTCATGTTTGTCCTTCTGTTAGTTGGTATCAAACCGCCAAACTAATGGAGCTCACTAGTTTCCTGACTCGCAATGAAGTAGTCCAACGTGGAAATAAGACGACGATGTTTTGAACATGCCTTATGTCTTCTTGGAATTTCGGACACCTGACCCTAACATCGAAGGGTAACCTGACACAACAATTGGGGTAATTTGAGAACCCTAAATCAGCCTAAATCAAACACAAACAAAAAAATTCTCCAAAAGCTCCGCACGTTGATGACTGAAAATTGAGGAGAGTAGAAGTTATTTACTGGATTTGCTGGGGCGTAGGGGAAGATGACTCTTTCTTCTGGCATGGGGGGCTCAAGTGAGAGTACTTCAATAGGGGGTAGAACAACGACAAGGACTTCCGGTCGAAGGTGCAAATGTGGGAGGCAAACTATCGTCTATACCTCCAAAACAGAGAGAAACCCAAATAGGGCATTCTTTGGGTGCCCTAATTTCAAGGTATACATGTGTAATTTGAAGTTATTTAAGTTGAAACATTTGCTCATCGTGGTTTGTTATTTTGGCAGGAGAAGAAGCCGTTTTGTGATTTTTTTTAGATGGGTAATTGACGTATGTAATGAAAGGCTAGAGCTGGAAGATGGAAGAATACACAAGGTGAGGTTGGATGTTGCTGAAATGGATTTCAAGTTGAAGCACGTGGACATGATGATGGGTGAGAATTGCAAGTTAAGCTGAATGACCAAGGTGTGAAGATTATTGAGCAAGAACTGAAGATTAATGACCAGGAAAGAAAGCTGAATGAGCTATACCTGAAGATGGTTTCAAAGTTAGATATGATGGACAATGAAATTAGGCATGTTGGTAGTCAGCTAGGGTCATAGTTGGTGCCTTTGTAGGTCTGATCATGATTTGTATTTTTGTTGCAAGTGTGGTAACAATCAAAACAAGTGTACCCAATGTATTTTTTCTTGACTGAAGTGTAATGAGTACTCAGTAATTTTACGAGCAAATGAATAAAGATGCTTTTATTATATGGCTTATTCTGTAATGGTTCGAAAATGTGTTTTTGATGTGCTTTATTTCTCTGGTCAAGCTTAAACTATATGTAAATGCCATGAACAAGCTCATGGATTATTCCTTGCCATCTGTTTGCATCATATGTTTTAGTCCTGTTCTGAATCCAATGCCATGACAGATTATAACCATTGAGTTATTTATCTGCATACTTAGGCTGGAATGAATGTATCTGCTAGAAGCATTGTGTCACAAATCACACATATATATGTTAAGTCAATAAATCATTGTATCAGAAGTTGGATGTTGGAATGCAGTCATATTTGTTTCAACTTGGGATTATGTAGTCTCATTTTGGTCCCTAACAAATTTCTACGAAGCCCTTTGTGGTCCCTGGCAATTTCCTCGAGGCCCTATTTGGTCCTTAGCACTAAAAAAAGGGACTTGAAATCAGAAGTTGCAAGACAATCATATTTGTTAAACCAGAAGTTTGAATGCAATCAGAAGTTGAATTTCTAAATCATGAAATCATTATATCACAAACCACCAACCACAAATGTATCCATTTAAGAGGCCAAACTCTTTCAAATATTTGTTGTTCGTATCAGAGACAATTTGACTGTAAACAATGGGAAAGAAATTGCAACTGATTAAACAATGGGAAAGAAAGCAATGCAGAAAGGTTGATAAATCATGATTAATGTAGCCATTTATAATTCAGAACCCATCCATCAAACAGTATCCACATGACTAAGTCATGATTACTGTCCAAAAACAAAAGGAGGGCTTGTCAAATGTAATACAAAGCACCATGTAATTCACCTAATGGCCTTAAATACAAAAAACTGTGGGGCTACAATTCATAATGGCCAACAATACAAAAAAATGGCCAAGGATACCCGTGTTGCCTATATAAAAAACACTGAACCTACAACTGATCATGTCCTTGAAGCTGGCCTTGGTGGCCTAAATCCAAGTGTGGTCATGAAGGCTGATGGGACGTAAATTCGTTCCCATCTAAGCCCATTTTGATGGCAAAATACCATACGTTCCCTCATCTGATGAGCAACTTCAGCATGAAAATCACTTGTTTTACACATTTGTGACAAAAACACAGTGGGGGAACGAATGGTAACGTATTCCTTTAAAATATATTAAAAGGGGAACGGACTGAGACACATTTAATGGACCTACTCCATTCATTTAATGCTTCTGTACACTTTGCAGGTAACGTAGAGTTAAAGACTTCTAAAAAGTAAGGCGGTGCACCAACTGAGCAGCTGAAAACGTGAAGAGCAGAGAATTAAGAGTTCTCATTGGCTAAAAACGAAAGCAAGGCATGGGCAAGTTTGCATACTACGGCTAATCATCACCAAACCTTGTTCCATCCAGCAATTTTCGCAGCTTCCATACTCTGCTGCCACCGTCCCGTCCCCTCATTCAAGCAACTTGCTCCAAAGGATTTACAAGCTTGCCACTCTCCTTCCATCTATAAATAGGACCACCCTCATACAAAAACATCATCAAATCCTGGAGGGTTTGCAGTCCGAAAGGAAGAGATCACTTAGTAGTAGTTAGTAACTTAGTTTAATTTTCAGTTATAATTATAGTTAAGCGACAACCCCTCTTCCCTTCTCTGTAAACAACCATCAAGACTCTTCACGAGCAATTACCCATCTTTCTCCATTTTCTGTTTCTTTTTGTAAACTGTCTTTTAAATTAATATAAGTGTTTTTCTCTTCGTTCCAATCGTTATCTCTTGACTGAATCTCGGGTCTATGTGATCTCAGTTGAAAATAATTATGTTTAAACTATCAGCAATGAGCTGAACTATCTGTGGAACGGGTAAACTGTGAAACTCT